AGGTTTACCATCAGGACAGACCATGCTGCATTATACTGGTTAAGATCATTAACGAACCCAGAGAGGCAACTGGCACATTGGATTGGAAAGATAGACCAGTATAATTAAGATATTGAATACAGAGAAGGAAAATCTCATGAAAATGCTGGCAAACTGAGCCGAAGACCCTGCAAAAACGTCTGCTGATTCCATGAAGCTATGTTATGATAAGAAATCTACTGAAGTCAGATTTGTACCAGGAGACAAGGTGTGGTTATATTATCACAAGAAGACCAAAGGGAAGTCTCCTAAGTTGTCTTCTCCATGGGAAGGCCCATATGACATAGTTGATCATCTCTCAGACATGATTTTCCAAATAAAATATGGTTGGTGAGGTAAGCCAAATGTGGTGCATGCCAACAGGCTTCAATGTTATCATGGTCCAGGACATCTCAGTTGGAACAAAGTGAACAATGGAACAAATAACGCTGCCGAAGACGTGTCACCTGAAAAAGCCACTGTTGAAGAAGAAACTCAACCTGATTTTGAGAAGGAAAACAGTGAAGCTGTTAATGAAGTTACTACCACTAATGTGAATGCTACCGATAATGGGACATTTCCTGATGGAGCAGATGAATCTCATGTAAAGCAGAATCCAATAAAACGGGGAGAAGTACAAAAGAAGAAACGTCCTGTAAAATTAAGAAACTGTTGTATTTTAATTTTGTGTTTGTAAATTCTGTACATTTAATTAAACTATTTTTAATTATCTATTGATTTAATGTAAGTGGCTATTGTTCAGGATGAACAATACTAAGGAAGGGGCAGTGTTATGACAGCGGAAGTCACGTGACGCTGCTGGGGGAATTTTCGAGAAGCACGAGTTTGTTCAAGATGCCCTCTTCTTTAGTATATAAGCCTGGCAGAGAAAGCCAGTAGGGGGAATATAAAGTGTGTGTGTTTTGTACTCATTGAGAGCAAAGTTACCAAGATTGTGAATTGCTGTGATTTATATCGTGTATTATAAAAGTTGTTATGTTTAAAGTGACAAGAAACATACTGACTGTGGAATTACTGTGCACTAAAAGTTTGTATCGAAAAAGAATAAACTAGTTTAATCAAGAAGGGACTTGTATCACTGAAGTTCCTCGAAAAGAATTTCTACCAGGAATTAACAAACAAGCAGATACGTAACAATAATTTCACTAACAGGATGACCACTGACATGGGAGGAAATTCCTCCAGGAAAGTTAGTTAACCTTATAGAATTGATAAGTATAATAGTGGTTAATTCTTTCAGCCTTATTCAGATTTTCATCCTGAAGTTAACTAGCACAGATCTCTTCTCACTTAGAAAGAATTGCAAATATCTTGCATCTTGTGTATATGTTAATTATACCTGTTTGTCTTGTTCAATAAATAAACTGTTTTTGATTTACTTTTAGACTTTTGCCCAATCCCTATCCCCAGCTCAGTCAAGTAAAAATTCATATTGACTCTGCAGTATATATTCTGCCAATCCTATATTTGAAATTAGTTGATATGAATATTGTGTTTAAGCCTCAGTATATACCTCCTAAATGAAAAAAAGAAAGATGGACTTCAGGTGTGTTGAAAATACAAGTCTGAAAAAACAAACAATAGGGAAGTTATACCATTCAGTCCTATAGATAAAATGTGTTTACCGACTGATAAAACAGAATATCCATTATTAAAAGGTGCAAACTCTACTACTACCTTTTAATGGTTTTAATTACATTATAAAATGACATGTCAAAATGCTTCCTACCTTTGTCTTTAGCAAGTTTAATTAAGGAGTTACAAATATCCACAGGACTTCCAACAGCATCATCAGGAACTAGAATAGCTCCCTGTAGATACAAATATTTCTTGATATTTACAGTCATATCATTTTTTGAAAGCTCTTTCTTTACAGAAAATAAAAAATTGGGAATTTAAAAACCTGCAAGTAGTGATCATAAAAAAAAGTAAAGAAACAAGGCTAAAAATACTATAGACATTATTTACTCAACCTAAAAATCCCTATTTTCCTGTTTAAGGTGCTTCTTGCCCGAACATTCTGTTAGGATTTTGTGCAATTCCTTGCAATCTCTATTGTGAACCACTATCATTGTTCATGATATTGTAATATGTTTAAAAAGAAAAATCTATAAAGTGCCACAAAATTGGTTGGCATAGTAAACATAAGGATATTAACATTACTTTTATCATTCTTTGGAAGATTTATTTAGATAATGTATAAACTTTGAGGACAGATATTTTGTATATATATTGAACGTCACGTGCAATATACTGATGTAGAGAATATAGAAGGTAGACAGATGATTAGATGATAAAAATATAGATAGCATGAGATGAGCGGGAAGCAGCAGACAGATAATAGCAAAAGAGAGTAAAGTTGCAAAAGGAAAGGTTTGGCGTGAAACTAGTTACTACCATACAAGTTATAGGCCTAACGTTTAATACGTTAGAGTAAGACTTACAGTAGAAATGGAAATAAAAAAAATATTTATTCTGACAAAGTGTGGTTCTACAGTAATTGAATCAGCCTGGGTGCACTTTGACAAAAGAAACAGAGGATCTTCAGAAGAAAAAACGATTACAATAACTCATGCCAAAATTGTAAGTGAATCATACACAGAATACTAGTACAACAGTAATATAGAGCAGATAGTTCGACTTGTCAACTGAAATTCTAAAATAATTAAATAGGCCTAAGTGGACTTTTGAGAAGAAGAGAACTATATATATATATATATATATATATAGTGTCTATGATATACCTATAATTTATTGTACATATGTTAACTTGTACTGAATATATATATTATTTTGAAAACAAGTGAAGTGCGTGCTGTTAATTTGTCACTGAATTTATCGATAATATGTCACAGTCATCTACTGAGGAAGAATCCTAAGCCCAACAACAACATAGTATATATTTATACTGTTATGAAATATAACTAAAAGTATTTTTATTTTGACAATTGGCAAAAAGAAGAAAATTTTTTTTTCAAATTCTGAGAGTACAAAAAAACAACAACACTACACACAATTCCATCAGGCACTGCAACAGATAAGAGCTTCCTATAGGTATATTTTACAAGAGGACAAGCATAACATCTATACTAACAAAAAAATGCAGCATCTGAATTATAAATCAAACTTTTTATAGTTTATATGACTGCCACACTCAAATGTTTTATTATGAAATGTTAAAATGATTCATATACTACTTTCTTTAAAATAGATACATATATATTAATCCTTTTACGTAATTGTTAATTATAGTCAAAGTTACTTATTCTTATTAAATTAAAAGCACATACATAAAGCTGTATACTTATTGCATTACAAATGTTTATGTAAATTTAATAACATATTTTGCCATTGTGCTTTATCAGAACAATCAGCTGAAAAAGCATACAAAATGGAGAAAAAACATTTATAAGGTATCCCATAATACTTTAAGTAGCCATTTATTCCGAATACTTTTAACAATACTTCTTTGAAACAAGTTTGAAAAAGAACAGATACCTTTAATCCTTCTGTATTCACCCAAGGACTATGTCTAGCAACATCACTGACACTCAGCTCCTCACTTTTTATCCCTCTAAATCTGTAATTTACACATAAAATGAAATTTTTTATATTAAGTTCATATCAGTATTTACAAATTTAAATGAAAATATATTTAATATTTCAACCCAATTTACATACCTTTCAAAAAAAGTTACAAACTTTTTTATTAATCAGAAAAACTAAAATCATCTCACATTTAAGTCAATAACCTAAAAAAATATATTCACCAATAAAAATGGCCCCTTTCTGCAATTTCTTGCCTTAACCTTCATACAAGTAATAGTGTAAAAATGAATAAACAGATAAATGTTGCCTTTAAATGCAATCTTCAACCTACTCTTCACAAGTGTCATGGAAGTGACAAGGACTGTTCAAATGTAATTTCAAAATTATCATATCTTGCAAAGTTTTATTACTACTTTTTATATATATTTTAAATTAAAAAACATATTATGAAAATTTTAGTTATGAGAAAGAAATATAAAAACCTAATCATTTTATTATGAGGATTATTCTTCATTGTTAGCCAAGTACATGGATTTAGGACTAATCTATATCTCCTAATTTGACTAAACTTCATGATATAGGGATTACAGCTTAAAAATAATACTAACAGTTAGGGCACCAAATTTATCAATCAGTGCATTCTAATCATTATAAGTGAGAATATTATATAAAATTAGCAATATTCATTACTGGTTTTTTTTTAGTTCTCTTTATTGTAGGGAGTTTTCTCTGACGAAAATAAATAATAACTAGGTCATTTTAGCACATACAAGTTAGCACAAGTTGATTTTATGCCTCAGTCACCACAAGTGTTCACTTCATGGATCCACAACTAGACATAGTTATTTCATTATGTTTTAAGCACATTAAGACATATTTTGATGATATGGGATGCAAAGCAAATTTAGTTTAGTAAGGTGAATGTTTCCTGTTCACCAAGAATTTAAAAAAATGTTTTTTTCACAAATACACGTTTCTAGCTATGTGTGTAGTTTTAATAACAGAACATTGGCCAAGGAATGTGGCTAACTTCCTTTGACTCTAGCCACCTATTGCTGTGGTTCATTACACTCTGATGTTGCATGCCCTTTCCTTGGAAAGGTTGCTGTATAGTACAACCTGGCAGGTCAGGTGATACCTTGAAGACATATCCTCCCTTTACCTTTCTATCAGAATGACATCAGTGATATGGGTAGCTCATGTACATCCAAGGGAGATAAGATTACAGAATCTTGTATATACTTCAATGTTCTTTTAGTCTGAAACAAGTAAAGTTACAGTCTGTACAAACCTTAATCTGGAACAATTTCTAGAGCCAGTATAAGTACTATCAATCATCAAAGTACACTCCATAACTTTGATTTATGGTGTTCATAAATAAAGATTTGCTTTTCACTTTGCTTGTGCATTGTGTTTTGGTCTCTCTTTTTTTTTAATTTAGTCAGAGTCAGATAATTCATAGTTAACTCTATGGTACATTTCCTTACATTTCTTAAGTTACTGTGGTACTATTCTTAACTCCTCAGTTATCAAAGCACCTGAGAATACCACAATAATAGGAATTTCTGATTGCAGCATTTATTACATTCTTAACAAATGTGTGAGAATGTCTAAACAATCATATACATACTTTTCACTTTTCTTTAGTTCAGCAAATACCAGTAAATAACAACTTTCAACACTGCGATAAATTTATTAGTTTGAGGACTCGTACTTTTTAGATGTCTACCTCTAAATTTATTATTACCCTTAACATCAACTACTCTTTTTCTCTATTTGCCAATGGAAAAGGTGTATTCTATCATAATTTATTAAATCAAATATCTAATTGAGAAGAAATATTATTTATGACAGCAAATTTAAATTCTACCTTTATTTTCTACAAGTATACAGAAAAGATAAAGACTATTGTGAATTCTGTTAGACGTGAAAACTGAGAATAGAAAGAAAATAAATATGTAAATCTGCTTACCTGACAGATGCTTTAATCAATTAAACTATCATGACTCAATTGCTGAAAACTATGTCTTTCAACTCACTGGGTAAATGCAGGGTTCTTGAGTTAAGAATTCTTGCCAAATCCTATTCTTCTTTACTAATGAAGTGAAAAACTGCAAAGTGTGGCACTTGAAACATGTAACTTCATTGACTAAAACATCTGACCACTTGAGAGTTTGAAACCACTGTTCTTGGTTCTCACTACATCAGATAATTCTTACTTGTTATTCATTATGTAACCATACAAATATAACTTACCTACAACTGTCAGCAATCCGCTTTAAGTATATCAGTCGTTCTGAACATGATGCTAATATAAGACTTCCACACTTTTTGAATCCTTCATATTGTAAATTAGAAAAAGAAATGATCAACTATCTTTAAAAAAAGTATTTAATTAGCAAAATTTAAAGTAAAAAATTATAACACTACATATACTTAATTAGAATATACAAGATTTTCAGTTCTTTCAGATGACCAATACTTATTAATAACAAGCTGAAATACCCGTTAACTGATGGGGAATGTATAAATTTAATTAAAACAATGTAAGTTTAACAGCAATCATATATTTGAAAGTAATAACTTGAACAAAACTTTATCTACTACAAAATTTTAAAATTATAACAAAGCTTCTTCATAAACAACATTTCAGTTTGCTTTCCATCTACCAACAAATATATTTTGTGGTGATCCCACCGTTGAACACCCTACATATCATGGACCATGAGAAAAGTATGGTTGTTTGAGAAATATTCAGCAACTTTTATACTTTGATCTTGGAATCCCTTTAGAATAATCAACATTGTCTGAAGCATCAACCTGCAAAGACTGTTTGAAATGGACTCAAGAGGCTGGGAGTAATCAACCAATAGACTTTACAAACAGTTAAATTTTGACCACCTTAAGACATTCTCCATAGTTCATAGTGTTTACATACAAAGTTTGGTTGAGATTGGCCCAATAGACTTGGAGGAGCTAGGATGCAAACAAACGTTCATTTCGTGTTGCCAATTTTAACATCAGAGAAATTTAAAACTGTCTATATTACTGCTTAGGACCCACAAGAAGGTATCTTTGTACCACATCCCAGGTATGTTGGTTGACATACACATAAATAATTCTCCCAAACCCCAAATTGTGCTTTCCTTGCTGAAAACCTCAGCAAGGGGAAAAATCCTAAACTATCTATATTTCTGTTTGGAACTTGCAAGGAGTATCTTTGTACTAAATCACATGAAACTGGTCAAAATATGGCTAAGTAATTGACCAAAACCCCTAATATTATGGGTTTATTTAACCTTTTGACCCCCTAAAATAAAAATAAATGGGAATACCCTACATTTTTGTATGTATATGTATGGTACCTATAAAAAGTATCTTTGTACCAAATCCCATTCACCTTGGCCAAAATATGGCAGACTAATTGTCAAAAAACCCTAAAATTATGTTTTTTGTGGCATCTTGACTTCTCTATAATTAGCAAAAATGGGCATGTCCGTCATTCTTGTTTGTTGTGTAGAACCTGTAAAATATATCTTTGTACCAAATCCCATGTAAATTGGTTAAAATATGGCCAAGTAATTGACCAAAATTATGCTTTTTTGTAAGCTCTAAGCACTCTAAGAAGACTCAAAGTGGGCAAATCCAACCTTTTTTGTATGTCAATGTGTTGGGTGCATGAAACTTTTTACTTATGGTAAATGTCATCTTGATTGTTGCAAGTATGAACACAAAGTAGCCCCAAATATACATTTTTGGGTTGTTTGACTTTTGACCCCATAAAATCCTTAAAAAGTCCTAAATCAAAAAATTAAGAAGGTGTATAGGGTGTATAACCCTACCAAGTTTCAAGTCAATTTAATTAATTTGGTTGATTGAAAAGTGTTTGGAAGAATAGCAAGAATAAAATGAGAAGGAGAAACAATAGAAAAATAGTATGTCTTTCTGCAGAGACATAATAAAAAAGCAGCAAAAGTAATATTACTACTCGTAAATTGAAAATCTATATCTTAGTATTTCAGTTGTTAAAATAGTTCAAAACTTACAACACAAAATAATTAAGCAACACTGTTAATAAAAATAACACTTGAAGTGTTTAAGTAAGAGATGTACACTGAGTAAGAACTATTAACTATTTATGCATTATGGCATACCCAACTAATAAATATAAAGGTTTCAACATTTTTCAGTTTTTGATATCATATACTACATTAATCATTTATTTTAAATATTCTACATGGTTCATTGCATCTTAACTCACATAAAATCACTTTTAAACACAGTCTTTAAAGCCAAATTTAAATACATCAAATCAAGCTAATATTTAAATGTTTTATTTGTACCTGTTGGATATCCATTTTCTTCCATCCATTTATAGAGATCTTTTGAGTAGCTACATAATTCCTCATATTTATCAGATCGAAAATTGCTAATAAGGCCTGCTGCATGCCAGGTAGTGCCAGAGGTAAATCTTTAACAGGTAAATACATATAAATCTGAATATGCATGATCAATACAGCAGATATACATCAGTAACTATAGATCAATCAAAAAAAGAGTAAATTGTGGAAAATGGTAACAGGATTTAAGGATGAACTTAAGCTTTTGCATGTGAAGGATATAGTGGCTAATAATGACTATCATAAAGTTAAAAACAGTATTAACAGAACTAGTATTATTGGATTTAATTCTGATGAGCAGGTTCTATTAAGTAACAGATTTCAGCCTTTAGCTTGTGCAGATGGGGAACCAGAAGTGGGAAGGATAAAAAAGGGGTGGGGGGCAGATAAGGATGGGAAAGAAAAAACATGAGGTTATTGTTATAGGAGATTCTTTATTACAGCACATGGATAGGATAGTCTGTAGGATAAACAGAGAGAAAAGAATCAGCTTATGCTATCCAGCAGCAGGGCTAGAGGATTTAATATAGTAGAAGGTGCTAGCAATGGTGCAGTCTTTGTAGAGAACACAGGGGCTAATGAAAAGTATAATGTAGAAAGAAAGTAAAAAGGTAGTTTTAATGGTAAACTGAAATGTTATTATTATAATGCCAGAAGTATAAGAAATAAAATGGATTACCTTAGAGCACTGATCAAAACAGAGAATTTTGATATAATCAGAATAATGAAAACTGGCTAAGTGTAGACATTTACAATTAAAGGTATTTCTTTGAAATACAGGGTTATAGGTTATTTAAAAGGGAAAGACTATTAAAAAGAGGGGGATAAGTAGTTTTAGTTGTAAGATATAAGTTATGACCTGTTCAACTTGAAGGTATCAAAACTAATAGCAATGAGATTGAATATGTTAGTGGTTATAAGTGGAGAAGGCTTTAAGTTAAAACCTGTTGCAGACCACCAGACAAAATTGATAAAATTAATGAGAAACTTTACAGTAAGATAAAGATTTCAGCTGTTAATAAGGTTACAATTATGATAAACGTTAATTTTAGGCTACAGATTGGGAAATATTAGTTACAAGATAAGGGAGATAAGTTTTTAGATTGTTCAGGGTGTTGTTTTTTTTTCACCATTTTAGATTTATTAACTTCTAATATACAAACAGTTGATAATGTGGAGATTGAGTAACATCTTGGTGCAAGTCATCATTGCTCAGTTAGATTTGATATTTTGCTGTATATGGATGGGGGTAGGACCCTTGAGGGTTGATAAAGGAAGGCTAATATCTGATGATTATGGGATGACTGGTTTATTTTAATTGAAAGTCTGATAAATGATGCTTTACAAAGTCACTTAAAAAAAGTTTAGAATTTTATTGGATAGTCAACATGGTTTAATTAAGGGAAAATCTTGCTTTACAAATCTTTTGACATTCATTGAGAGGCCACTGCTTATGTAGATGGTAAAGTTGTCAATTTGGTGTACCTGCATTTTCAGGAAGACATCTGGCAAGGTGCCACATAAAAGACTTGTTAAAGAAAGCTGTCTCCATAAGAAGTGTAGTGGATAGTGTGGCTCATTGGATAAAAAACTGGTTGGATGGAAGCATGGGCATCTGCAGAAATTTCTCCATGGGAGGAAAGCAAAGTCAAAATTAAGGGATGATGGACCCCCCATCAAAGTTTTGCCATTAAAGTCAAGAGAATAGGCAAGTTCCCAGAGTCAAATTTGATGGGTTTAATATTTGTTAGGTTAGTTTAAGCCATACTGCAGACTTGCAGCTATATACACTCCATAATAATAAATTTTGGTAGACTCTGACCATGCTGTCTCATGGGATGTCTGCAAGACTGGGTCTCTTTTATAACTTGCTGCTGGTTCTACTGACAGGTGGCAACAGGTTGACCACAATCACATTGTGTCAGGGCTCAGGGGATGTCAGCAAGACCACATAAGTATCTTTGATGACCTTAACGAGAATTGCCGTGTCTAATATCCAAGAAGCCTCTGTGGTAGCAACATTTTTTCAATATTTAGTTACAGGGTAAGTATCTAAAGATTTTAAGTAAAGCTGCCAATCCTGGCAACTTTTATTAGAATTGAAAATTAAGTGTAATAAGTAATATGAAATTGTGAAGTGAATAAAAAACTTCTAAATTCATATACATATGCCGAATGAATAAAGAAAGAATTGTGTTTCTCATTTTCTGGGGAGGGGTGGCTGCAGATGCCCAAGGATGGAAGAAAGCAGAGGGTTGTTATAAATGGAGTTTAGTAAAGTTGGATTCCTGTCACATGTGGGGTACCTCAAGCCTCAGTGTAGGACCTTTGCTCTTTTTAGTTTACATCAATGAAATAGATGATGGAATAGTAAATAAATTAATTAAATTTCCTGATGATATTAATGTCTTGGATGTTGCTGGCTGTGAGGAAGATGCTGATTCTTTACAAAAGAACACAGATTTTTTTATGAGTTGGTCAAATAAATGGAAGACAGTTTTTAATTATAATAAATACAAGGTAATGCATGTGGGATATCATTATTTTAATTATGAGTATAATTTTAAAGGATGTAATACAAACAGTGTTATGGAAGAAGATCTTGGTGTTCTGGTTCATCAGTTTTTTATATCATTTAAGCAATGTGCTGTTACTTGTGGTAGGTTAAATAGGATTTTAGATTGTATCTATGGAAATACTGAATACAAATCTTAAAATATTATAATGTCATTTTATACGTCATTGATTAGGACATATTTTGAATACCATGTTTAATCTTAGGTTCCTTACATTTGAAATGATATTGAATTGTTGGAAAGGGGGTTCAGAGGAAGACTACTAGGATGGAAAGGTTATCATACAAGGATAGGTTAAGATTGTATTCTCTTGAAAAAGAAGATTTACAGGGGATCTGATTGAGGTGTTTAAGACTGTTAATGGAATTGATAGTGTTGATGCATCATCTTTTTTCATATTTAATAGTGAGAATGGTAAGACTAGGGTACATAAATATAAATGTTTGCAGAAAAGAAATCACCTTTATTTGTCTAACAGGATAGTTGCCCTCTGAAATGGGTTTCCACTGGATGTGGAGGATGCAGGTAAGTTAAGGGAAAGCTTGATAAATATTTGAATGATAAAAGCTGGCTTTGAATGTTTTATTCTTGTTTTAAATTTTAGTATAAAGGATGTGACAGCCAAGATGGACTAACAGGTCCCTTCTCCTTTAATTATATATATATATATATATATATATATATATATATTTGTGTGTGTGTGTGTGTGTATGTCGTAGTCGTGGTACGTTACGTACCTTACCTAACCGTATAAGTAA